ATGAGGTCTTGAAAACTTTTATTATAAAATTCTTTACCCCTGTTGGTATGCAGATTTTTTGGTACTCGACCATCTCGTAATACAAACTTCATTGCTGTTGTAACATCTTCAGCAGTTTTTTTCTTTGCAGGTACAGCCTATACATGCTTGGAAAATACATCTATTACAGTTAGCATGTACCTATGACCTTTATTTTCACGAGCATAGGGTATCATTTCTACAAGATCGGCCTGTCATGTTTCATCCAAACCTCGGATATCATACTTTCGTCGTGGATAGTTATGACGAGCCGGCTTGTGGAGCTCTTCCACAACAACTTCCTTCTTACGATCCATCCTCATTGACGACTAATAAGCGAATAAGACTCAAATCATTAGTTTTATATCCGGTTTATTTTCTTCCGGAGAAGAGATCTGAGATAACACCTCTTTGATCGTATTTATTTCCCGCTCCAAATTTGCAACTTTTTTAGTACACACATCACTGTAATTGCTTAGCTTTTTACCTTGCTCATCCCTCATCAATTTTATTTCTTTCTGGAAAGTGTTGAGATTCACTGCATCATTTTGTTGGATAGCTGCTGCAACATTACACAGTCTTTTATGTTCAACGTCATATTGTGCATCTGTAGTGAGTTTATAGCCAACACCTGGAGGACCAGGAGGACCTCGACTATCGTCTTCACTCTTACGTCCAAACACATCGATACTCATTTTACTACTAACGTGAATGCTCGCCAGCTTCAGTATGTATACCCTGCTTCACGCAACTCTTCAATAATCGATATTATATCATTGTCATGGCTATGATTTCCTGCAGATCTTTCTGCTATGAGTAATCGAAGGTGGTCGACTAGCTTATTTGGATCGTCTCAGTGCACATAATCTACTTGCTGCATTGTTTTAGCAATTTTTTAATGAGGTAACAATGATCCACCTTTTTTGCTAACAATGAGATCAAAAATTGGAGCTATGATTTCATTAAATTTGTTACTATTGTGCGTTCTAATAGGTCTATTATTGTTGTAGTCCCTTCTGTGGGCACTTGAAGAATTTAAAAGCAAGTGATATTTCTCCAAATCATCTTCGATCATGCGAGATCTATCAGGATGTTTTTTCACCAGTAGCTCCATCAACCCATTACTCATTGGAAAGCTCAACTCGCCCATCTGAATTTGATTATTTTAAAAGTTTATCAATGAATTACCAAGCTTGTATGATCCACCTTGTTTTCGCACTCCATAAACCAAATCTAATAAATCTCTTTTATTTTCATCAAGTATTTGTATACACACATTGTCAAGAGGTTGAATGGTAACATTCATTTCATCATCATCATCATCGCTTTGACTAACAGCAGACTCAAACATCATATCATCGTCGCTGTATTTCTCTTTTTTCATTTGTTTGATGGGTAGTGGCTTATTAGGAATTACAGAATCATTTTTTTTGTCCTCGTTTTAGTGATAATTTCCCGAAGAGGATTAGTAACAGGTTTAAAGGTCATATTAAGAACTTTTTCAACCTTATCTTTTCCAAATTTCAATAATTGATATTTCTTTTTGATGGCTTCTCTGGCCTTCACCAGCTTTTTCTCCCTTGTACATGTTGATGCTTCAACGTCTCAGAGTAGACAATGTATTACACTATGTGCGACCTATATTTATAGCAAAATTGTTAAAACCTTTGCGATATCAACCACTGTTCATTTTTTTATCCTTATCCATGACAACCAAACCATATTTATCATCATTCCAACAGTTTGTGCAGAGATCTTCAAACTGGGTATACGACATGTCAGAGTTTACATGATCGTCATACACATGTTTCAAATTCAGCTTATCTTGACGAAATAGAACTAAAAGATTAACATTGTCTCTCACAAGGGGTTTTGGTATTTGTGCGTATGACTGGCATTAATAGAAACAGTCTACATTTTTGTGTCTTCCCATATAGTGGAAAGCTCTTGCATTATTCTGCTTTTTACAAGCTATGTCGTCAAAAATCATGATAGAGTTGGATAGTGCTTTATCTGGAGATACTACAGCTTCATGTTCATTAAATGCAAAAAATTGTATGTTATCTATGGGCTCCAGCAGCTCTTTTAAAAACTTATACTTTGGCTGATTAAGCGACTTTGAGTACAAATAGACGTTTTCAAACCTTAATCCATTGGGGTCTACTATTAGTGCTAGTAAACGGTTTGTCTTACCACAATTGGATGGACCACAGAATACGGCTCGAATATTGTCTGGGAGTAATTCACCATGTCGATTCGAACGCTTTTCCTCTTTCACAACAGCATCAAAGTTTGGAACTTGCAATTTTATAGTTTGCTTTTTGAACTGCATGTCTGCACGATATGATGGCTAGAAAACAACTAATGTGATAATTGAATGCGCAATGCTTTTATACCCTATAAATACAATGCTTTTAGACGAAGGTGCTCAGTCGTGATTCAACCACTGAAGAGTGATGATCATTCATCGCGCAAGAGGACGTGGTCTTTTGAATAGGGTTATAAATACTTTACCTGTAGAATTACACATTCCAGGCTACCAGTACTGCGGTCCTGGCACTAAACTTGTCGAACGTCTGGCTAGAGGTGATCAGGGAATAAATCCACTAGATGCAGCGTGCAAGAAACACGACATAGCCTATTCTCAGAATCAAGAAAACATTAAGGCTAGAAATTCAGCAGATAGAGTATAATAAAAAAGCTTGGGAAAGAGTCAAGGCCGAAGATTCGAGTACTGGGGAAAAAGCAGCTGCTCTAGCTATTGCAAATACTATGAAGCTTAAAAGTAAATTAGGTATAGGTGTGAAAAGTAAGAGAACTGCTTTGAGTACAGTTATTAAGGCTGCATCACGGAAAATAAATAGCAAACATGCACACAAGGTTATTACTTCAGCTTTGAAGAGGGCACGTTGTGCAGTTAAGAAAGCAGGTGGTAAGAAAAGTGTAAAAATACCACGTATCTTACCTCTCCCTGCTCGAACTGGTGGTGCTCTACCTCTAATACCCTTATTTGCTGGTTTAAGTTCAACCGGTGCACTAGCTAATGGTGTAGCTGGAATATTAAAAAGTATAAGTGCAAGTAAGGCTGCTAAACAGAAACTGTAAGAAAGCCGAAGACGCAATAAACTATGGAGGCCATTGCACTTGGCAAAGGTCGACTTCAACCATATAAAACTGGATTAGGTGTGTACTTGAAGCCATATGCTGGAAAAGGTTTTAAAAAAAAGCTTGAAGTAAAACTACCCGCTAGAGCTCTGACGAATGTTGATTTATTGAAATATGCTAAAAAGTTAAAAATCCCTAATTTCCGGGGAGTATTTATGCAAAATGACTTACCTCTTGATGAACCTTGTTATCGCAAAACTGCTATAGTTAATCTTGATGGTAAAGATGGTCCTGGAACACACTGGGTGGCGTATCAAAAAACGCGGTTATGATGTTGTCTATTTTGACAGTTTTAGTGATCTACAACCACCCATCAATTTAAAGCTATACTTGGGAGTTGGCAATATCAAGTGTAACCACGTAAAATATCAAGATTATGATTCTCACAATTGTGGTCAATTGTGCTTAAAATTTCTCTCTCAAAAAGTATATAAGGTAATGTCATAGCGCAAAATCATTCATTCGCTTTTGAGAAGTCATGGGAGAAACATTGACACTAAGTTTGTCTGGAACTTCTTCTGTACGGAAGCACAATATTTTCCACCTATCGACTTATCATCGAAACATAACTACGTTCTTGGCTTAGTAGAACTCTTAACATTCAATTCGATTCCAAATATTGACGTCGGTAGTAATAAATTTTACATGGCTGATCAAGTAGTCGTTTTTCCAACAGGCAGCTATGAAATTCGAGATATCGAGTCATTTTTAGTTGACGCATTACAGCCTAACAATATAGCTATTGATATCAAACCTAACAATAATACACTCCGTAGCGAAATTACTTGTACTCATACAATTGATTTTAGACCAAAAGATTCTATAGCTCATCTCTTGGGTTTCACTGAACGTGTTCTTGAAAATAGCACTACCCACAGTTCAGATTTACCTGTAGCTATTCTCAAAGTTAACGCACTGAGAGTTGAGTGTAATATTACTACTGGAGCCTATATAAATGCAGAAAAAGTTCATACTGTTCATTAATTTTTTCCAGATGTACCACCACATTATAAAATCATCGAAGTACCATTACAAATTATCTATTTACCAATTGTTGGACGCTTCATCGACTAAATGCAACTGCGCACTGTCGATCAGAATGGTAATTTAGTAAAATTTTGTAGAGAAGTCATAACCGTTAGGTTACATATAAAACCTTCATCATAATGGGGATCATATACAACACTAAAAGCTATATAAGTAGTTTAACATGTGCTCTAGCAGTCAGTCGACAACAAACAGTCAAATAGTCAACACATCAAAGACAACTGACATGTCAAAACATTTAGTTTCTAAAAAGTTTAGTATTAAAAATAAATGGCCGTGGTGGAAACTAACTTGCATATTCTTGTGTTGTTGCGTAAAACATAGAAGAAATTCTAAGCATTTAGTCTCCTGTCACCTTTGATAAATTTATAGCACACTATAAGATTCATGCTCATCAGCCATACGCCTCCGCAACTTATGGCAACAGTGATGAAATCCATATATCAATTCAACATCAGGACCTATGTCTACTACCATCTCGTAGATCGTTACACATTTATGGAAAATAAGTGAAAGCAGACGAAAATACAGCAACTACGAATACTGAGCTGGTGAATAACGCCATCTGCCACTTATTTGAAGAAATTAGGTATGAGATGAACGCTATTAAGATAGATAAGTGTAAAAATGTGGGTCTAACAACCATCATAAAAAATTGGTTAACACTCAGTCCAGATCAAGACGTATTGAGTCACAATGCAGGTTAAAAGGGAACTCACGCTTTAAGTCTAATAGAGAAAAGCTGCTTTAATGTCTTGATTCCCCTCAGCATGATCTTAGGTTTTGCTGAAGATTGTCGTAAGATATTTGTTAATGTAAAACATGAACTTATACTAACGAGATCGAGAAATGATTTAAATGCAGTTGTTCAAGGTGCTATTCCTGCTGCAAATGCTAATGAAAAACCGACTTGGGAAGAGTTTCAAATAGTAATATTGAAGCTCGAATGGCTTCTGCCCTATGTAGTGATGTCAGATTCTCATAAACTTCATCAGCTCAATTATTAGCAAAAAGACAAATTGATGTCTATGAGCTTCCGTACTTGGAAGCTCTATGAATATCCACTCTTTCCCACCATATCTAAGCATATCTGGACAGTCAAGACGTCCAATCAGTTGGAAAAGCCACGTTATGTTGTACTGGCTTTTCAAACAAACCGAAAGAATCAGAGAGCTGCTAGTGCTAGCAAGTTTAATCACAGTAACATAAGAAATGTGAGACTCTGTTTAAATTCACAATATTATCCCTATGGTGATCTCAATCTCGATATGACAAACAATCAGTATGCACTGTTGTATGACATGTATGCTTATTTTAAGAATTCATATTATGGTGAATTCCCCGCACCTTTGTTAAACAGATATGATTTTCTGAACGTCGCGCCTTTAATTGTGATTGATTGCTCCAAGCAAAATGACTCACTGAAAAATTCTCCAGTAGATGTGCGTTTGGAATTTGAATCTCACGCTAATTTTCACAATACATCAGCCTGCTGCCTAATTCTACACGATCGTATTGTTCAATACAGTCCAATGAGTGGAGACGTTAAGAAACTCATATAAAGCTATAGAAGCTCATGCATAGCTCTGCTAACATCATTTGTCTTTCAGCCATTGTGGAGAGAGGTCAGCAGAGCAAAGAAGAAGATAATAAACGACGACAAGAAGAGTGGGCAAAACTTAAGAAGAGACACGCAGAGAAATGGGCAGAAAAAAAATCAAAGGAGAAAAATAAAAAGTGTAAATTATTTTAAAAAAATTTATTTTTCAAAAGACATTTATCGACATGTCGCATAAGCCAACTGAAAGCAAATTCACCAATGACGTGGAGTATCAAAAACTTTCTACCAAGGATGATGATGAAAAAAAATCTTGGTTAAAGAATTTAACAAAAAAGTTTTCAACTAATAAATCATCAGTTCCTCAACGCGAAGGTTATAAACGATTGTGATTCATGGACTACACATAATGATGGTGGTGGGGGTAAAGCCATAAAGGCTGTTGCATAATTCTGCTATCATCATTCATCTATTAACCGTCATGGGGCAAGGTCAGAGCGCAGAGAAGAAAGAGTACGATAGAAAATACAAAGAGTATGAAAAGTTCATTGACAGGTATGTAAAGTGGACTGAACAGAGGAAAAAAGAATCAGAAAAAAGTAATCAGAAATAAAGATTGGGGAGGAAAGTTTCCAAAAATATGATAGTGAGAAGGTTATAAGCAATCAATGGATTACATAGTTGATATGCAAGGCTTTAAACAGTCTGTCGATGAATTAGTTCTCAAGAAATTAGCTATACTTCTACTCCATTCTGACGGTGAACCAAGAGTGTTTCTCTTCAAAGAGCCATTTTCATGGCAACGACTCTCAGACAAATATAGAAGAGAAAATTTATGGTTGGAACGCTGTTTTCATGGTATACCTTGGAAGTCGGGAAATTTCCCGTACAATACTATAAGAACAATTCTTTGAGAACACCTACAAATTGCAAGAAAAGTGCATGTATTTGGCTCATTGAGAAAACAATGGTTGGAGAGATTCAAATTCAAGGTTCATGATATTACAGATTTGGGCTATCCTACGATTGATAAAATAAAACTAGCCACTATCTGCCCTCATCATAACGGGGCGTACAAGGCAAACTGTGCACATCATAACGTTAGATTGTACAAAAAGTTTCTCCTACATTTGCCTGAGTCCATGGAATGGATGTAACCATTGGTTTTCAATCAATCTATTTATGACGAAATTTTTTCAATGGGCGAACAAAAATATTTGGCTACGCTTCTTTTGGAGAGGTAAGATTCGATGGTTGTACCTCACAGATAAGAGCGTTTGGTTGGAGCTCTTATTAAGTTTCCCACAAAGTTAACATTATAATAAAGTAAAACTTCTTTAAATAAACTCATGAGTATAAACAGTGTAAGAGGCATGTTTAAGTTATTTTTAAGTCTTTTTTAGTTATCTTTAAAGTCATCTTTGAGTTATTTTCAAATAATCTTTAAGGCAATGCCAGATTATTTTAAATTCATCTTCGAGTTATCTTAAAGGCATCTACACTTTATGTAGATAAGACAGTGAGGTACCAAACATATCTGTATTAGTATAGTAAGTATCTAACCATCCGATGGCACAGTCGGTAGCGTATGAGTTCTCATCGACATTTAATAACACAGAATATAAATATAAAATCATTCTATAGTGTGGAAGGAAACTTTGTGGATCTGATACCTCAAGGATATAAAAAAAACAAGCACATAAAGGAGAGTATTCTTAAAAAATATTGTTAATTTTAATTTTGGATGTATTTTTTCATAAAAACGAACTTTTACATAAAAATTTTTTTCCATTAAATTACCAAAAAAAAACATACTTGGATTTTCAATCGGATATTCGTATTTCGTTAATTTACTACGTCTATGTGTCTGTATACACGTTACATCGATGTTCTTCATAGTAGATAAATATTTTTATTAAGTTAAATAACCCTTCAGATAACCTGTATTTGTTTTTTAGTATGTATTATTTTTACTTACTGTTACCTACATAGTGTTATTTCACATTGCATTTAATTAGATTACACAACGTTGTGTTCCACAACTAAAAAAAAATTTTTTTAAGTAACGTATTTCTTCTCTTCTACAATACAAAAGGATGTTATTCGACGTCTCCGCCCGCTTTACCTCTCTCGCAATTGTGTAGCTGATACGTAACCATAATTTCGTTAGATATGTAATATTTGGAAGAATTATAAATGTATAATAAATTGAATACGAAAAGAATAGTTTTTCAAAATACACGTTTAATATTATGCTCACGATCACCGACTATTTATTGTTTATGGTAGGTACTTGGGTATTTTTCAAATCACCAAGCATATTAAAAAGGTTAAGTTTAGTAAGTCTGCATTCAAAAATTTTAAAATACATTATGCTTGATGTACTTATGTACTCTAACTTCATTATTCATAATTAAGTACTCACGTAAGTCGTTTAATCTGTCTTTCCATCCCTCTGGCACATGAAAAATCCACGCGTACATAACTGCAAAAAAGGTTCGAATAAACCAGTGGTCAGTGGAATCTTGGGTATCCCAGTAAGTAGTTACACTTCCATGACAGATAATATATGAATGGAAATACCTTCTCTGAAACGATATTTTAAATACCCCACTGCGATGTATCGAAGGTGGTGCAGTTATTGTTTGAATGAGGGTATTCGGTAATGAGCTGTGGTTTTATTAACTATTTTAATACTTAATAAATGAACAATAACAAAAAATACGTATCGTAGATACCGCAGTACAATGTCCTCATTCTCTGACATTAAATTCTTTTGTATCTATTTTATACATAGTGTGAAAATCAATACATTAATGTTAAAAAATATCGAAGTATAACAAATGTGGCAAAATTTGATGAAACAAAGTCAGGTTGAGGACCTTACGGTTTAAGACTGAATTTGTTTTCAAACCTGCCGTAATGTTGAGAAAAATTCTAAAAGATACCTGATTAAAGATACCGTACCTGACTATCACCCTGTTAGTAAGGTTCAAATCCGAGTGAGAACACTTTTTTATTTTGAAATAAAAGTAAAAATAAATTTCAAATCTTAAAGAAATTTTAAAAATTACATTTCGAAACGCGCGCTCATTTAAATACAGTTGGTACAGCAGAGCACTAACAGGCTGCAATCTGGTAGCCCGACTACTCGCCTGTATGGGTGGGGTGCCCTAGTCCCTGCTCCGTTATCTTGGAGCTGGGCCACCTCGGAGCTAGGCCACCATGGTCGTAGTGGCTTAGTACCTGTATGGATAGGGTGGCCCAGTTCCTGTACAGGGACTGGGTCTTAGATAATCGGATTATATGAAAGCAGTGATCAGACCCCTGTATAAGTATGTGGCCATGAGTGGCTCCAAAGCGTGGCCTGGGCTGGGCTCGGAGCGAGGCCAGGGGGGAGGTGGCCCCGTACCTGCCTAGCTACGAGGACATGGTTAGCCTCGGAGTGAGGCCAGGGGGAGGTGGCCCCTTACCTGTATGGGTGGGGTAGCCCTGTTCCTGTACAGGGACTGGGCTTGGCCCCGTACCTGCCTTGTTTACCTACTAATTAGAAGGTATTTCAATGCTAGAAATATCTATTTGATAGTTTAAATGTAACAAATATCTGTAACTTAAAAGTCGTACTATTGAAACATTCTTTATTTATTTACGTTAAAAATAATGAATAAGATTAATTCAATTTTTGCAAAAGTTTGCACGAAATTATTATCAATTAAACACGTATAGTATTGTAAAAATCGTCATCATATTTAGGGTAACTAAGCTGAAGTAAGTAATTCACCTCTCATAAGCGAATTACAAAAGCCCGATAGTGCCATTATGCGTATAACACCGTAAGCAGCCACGAATGATGCGTTGCGTGCAACCAATATCGTAAGCCACATTGTTCGTTTTCAAAACAAAAGCAAATAGTTTCTTAATTTTACACAGATTAAATTAAACAAAGATAATTCTACAAAAAGCTCGTAAAATAAAATAATTAATTACAAATCTTCAGCACCTACATGTATAAAAGTAATTTTATTTGTCTCATATGAATGATGAGAAGAAGTTGACATCAATTACATTTTTATACAGCATTATCAGTAGCTTTCCGGACAAATCACTTAACTCGATTTTTATGATTTTCGAAAAAAATAACTTCAAAGATTGAAAAGCTACATTCTGACAGCGCAGAATCCTCACGTTGGATATTGAGAATAGTATATTACGCACCTAATGAGCGAGGTTAAGAATATCGCAGGTTTTAAGGGAATAACGTAAAATCTCGGGCGTTTCTTAATCTCGCTCATTAGGTGCGTAATATACTATTTCTGCATACCCTTGTCAAAAGAGCTGATTATCTGTTTTGGATCAGGACAGATATGTGGCAATTTCAGCAGGGGTGTGCAGAAAAAGACTTTACATTTTTACTTTCATGATCAACAAAATCTCATTACCTACGGATCGATTTTGGAGTTGTTTAGTTAGGATGGGAACATAGCATTTATTCGATTATTCAAATTACGAAAATTTAACAAAAAGATGTATATTACCACGAGGATGACTTGTCTAATTGCTAATTAGTTGTTATCGAGTAGTAGATTGCAATTATTTAAATTCGTAATGTAGGTGGTATGTAGCACTAGTACTCCGTGTAGTTCTGTCGACAAAAGCAAGGACAAAAGCAATGCTTCAAATACGATTGGGATTCCAAACTAGGTTTGACTGCACTAAATTCCAGTAGATAAAAAATTTTTAATGAAAAGACAATCTTTTATTTAATTTTTCCGTGCTAGAGCAGTGTTATCAAGAGTATATCAAAATATACAAAGAAAAAAATCAAATTTTCCGCCCTCGGATGGTTTTGAGAGGCTAGTACTTCCTCGGGCGAAAAAGCAGTTTTCCGGAACTCGTTCGAAAAGTCTCCTTTACGAACCTCGTTACGTCCCTCGCCTTCGGCTCGGGCCGCAAACCTCTTGGTTCGCAAACCGAGACTTTTCAAACTCGTAGGAAAACTACCAT